AAGGATGGTGATATGGGGTAAGAAGAATAAATAGGACCAGGCACAGTGACCCACGCCTGTCACCCCAGCAGCTGGGGAGGCTGAGGCAGGATGGTCTCGAGTTCAAAGCCAGCCTCTGCAAAAGCAAGGCGCTAAGCAACTCAGTGAGACCCTGTCTCTAAATAAAATACAAAATGGGGCCAGGGATGTGGCTCAGTGGTGGAGTGTCCCTGAGTTCAATCCCTGGTAACCCCCCCAACCCCACCACACCAAAAATAAATAAATAAATAAATGGGAATACACACGTGTTCAGTGGGGCCCAGTGGCTGGTCCATAGTTTACCCATCAGGCAACTCTGGCCGTGGTGGGGTTGGGTGGAGAGTGCAGCGTGGGAGCCCAGGGACTGAAAGAGAACTTCACAGTGCAGAAGTTGGTCCACTTTCTATTAAATGAATGCCTTCATTCATTTTCTTTAAAAAAAAAATGTAACTAAGAAGGAGCGTGGCTTTAGAATTGCTGAGAATTGAGGTGCACCTCAACATGTATTGATTGAGCTCTTATTGCGTACCCCACGCAATGCTGGAAATCTAGGAAGTAGGTGTTATTATGCCCCCAAGTTCAGAGACATGAACAGTTGCAAAGAACACCCAGATGAGGGTGGGGGGGCCCAAAAGTCAAACTCTGGCTCTGAACCTCCAGGATTGCCTAACACACCGAGTGCTGTTGCCTCCTTAAGTAGCTTTTCGAGTTCAAAAAGGCTATGAAGTCAGAGTTTGGTTGCAGAAGATTTTAAAGGCCCCTCAGTGCCTGCACATGTAGTTTGGAGGCCAGCTACCTCTCAAAGCCAAGTCCAAACTTGCCTTCAGATTAGACTTTAAAGCACCTCAAAGACTGTTCTTTAAAGCTATCCTCATAGAATGTTCTCGACTGAATGTTTCAAACAGGTAGGAACTCTCTCAGTCTAATTAATCTCTGATAGTATCTACAACCATATGTGGCACATCCACAATAGATATTTTAGAAATTAACAAATATCTTTTTCTATAGTTCAATCTATGGCCATACTGGGTTTTCTCTCCCTGGTTTTCTGAATTATGACAAAGAAGGAAAAACTAACCATTTATTGAGTACTTTCCTATGTGCCAAGCACTATAAGCAACAGATGGAGGACAGATATAGTTGTTGATATGCACATATCAACATAGTTAGAGATAGTAATATGCATATAGGTACAATTATAAATATAAATATAGATAACATAAATAATTATGAGGGTAGATATAGGTGTGGATACATAGGCCTAAACATAGATGTACAGATATAGGTATTTTTTACTTTTTCTTTCTTTCTTTTTTTTTTTTTTGATGGGGGGTCACTAGGAATTGAACTCAGGGGCACTTGACCACTGAGCCCCATCCCCAGTCTTATTTTGTATTTTATTTAGAGACAGGGTCTCACTGAGTTGCTCAGCACCTCACTGTTGCTGAGGTTGGCTTTGAACTTGGGATCCTCCTATCTCAGCCTCCTGAGCTGCTGGGATTACAGGCATGCACCACCAGGCCTGGATGACTTTTTAGTCTTCTTAACATCATGAATCAGGTTCCTCTATGTCTGTACATATCAGTGCAAAATTGGACCCTGCAGTTTCTACATTCAGGAACCAGAGCCCCACTTCTTTTTAGGACCTATTCTAGAGGTTGAGGGGTCATTCCTCTAGGCCAGGCTTCAGCGAGGTTCCCCAGGGAGAGCATTATCTACTAGCTCATCTTCTGAGAGTGTATGCATCTGTTCTGGGTTGATGCAAAACGCCTTTCTCGGGATGTCATTACATTATCACCACGAATCCAGGCAACAGCTGCTGCTAGTCTTGCAGAGGAGGTTCAGTAAGCTGCTCACAGTTATGCAGGTGCCCAGCAAAGGGGCTGGAAGTGGAATTCTTTGATCCCTAAGGCCACATTCTAAACTGTCACACTCCTCCTTAGCTGGGCACTGGATTTGGCCGTCTTACGTAATGAAGATTAAATTCGAATTGCAACCAAAAGATGATGTGAAAGTCATTTATTCTTTATTTGATCAAGAGGGTTATTGGTTCATCATGACTGCAGTGGCAAATTACCACAGTCTGATTGAAAGACATTTTTTTTCTCCTAGTTCTGTAGACTAGAAGGCCAAAGTCCAGGTGGTTTCTTTTGAGGCCTGTCTCCTTGGCTCGTAGATGACTGTCTTCTTTTTTCTCTTGGCCTTCTTCCTCCAAGTATGTCTGTGTCCTTATCTCCTCTTCTTACAAGGCAAGCAGTCATTGTATGAGGACCTATACTAAGAACCTCAACTTAAAAGACCCTATCTCTAAAAACAGTCCCATTCTGAAGTATTGGGGATTATTTCTCCAACATGCCTTTTGGGGGAACACAATCCAGCCCAATGATGAAACAGGTTTCATTTCCTATGTCAACTTGATTAGGAATGACTCTCTAAAAGACCAACCCAGGGCAGATCTTGTAGGTTCACTCAGTCTGTGCCACAGTCCGGCTGCAGCAAAATAACCGGGGGGTGACGAACAATTTGTGTAGATTGATACAGCAGGAATAGGAGCCGTTTATTGTAGGACAGGAGCAGTATTTATACATTCCACACAGCTTATCTAATTAGCATAAACTAGATACATCAGTCAACCAATCAGGAATCTCTACACTTAATGGCTCGCTTTTGTTACTTCTCAAACCACTCCCTCTGGCATTTTGCCAGGCACCATCCAGACTTGTTTACGAACTTTAACATTCCCCTGACAAAATGCCAGGTGTTATTTTGACTTATTTACAGACTCTAACAAGTCTGGTAGGAAAGGTATTGAAAGGCTAGCAGCTTCCACCCCAAGGATGGTGGTGTATGTGTTTCAGAATCCGTATGGCCCAAATGACAGAAATCCAATCGAGGACATGGCTGGCTCACAGAATGAAGGGTAAATGAATTTCCTCATTATATCTCTTGTTCTTTAGCCACTTATTAAGGGGCCATTTGCACTGTCTTTGGAGCAAATAGTGAGTTAATATTTAAGGAAGACCCCCGAGGTCATATATATGTAGTAGAAAAATAGCAACTGAGTTTGGTGTTCTCACTCTAAACCAGCTCACATCTGTGCAGGGATGTGTATGTTGGGGAAAATCACAGAGGGGGAAATGAAACGGTTCTGCTGTTAAACTTGCCTTGCAACTTTGGAGATACCCGTGTCCCTCCTTAGCTTAGACCTAGTGATTTAAAGCTCAAATGTCAACAGGAGCTGAGCAGCTAAGGTTAGTGAAGGAGGGAGGTGCGATAAAACAGGGAATGGTGGGAACTGGGTCAGTTTGGACAATGTCCCATGTAAATGAGGCAGACAGTCCTCATCTCCAGCTGGTTGGTGCCAAGTTGAAATAAAAACCCAGTGTTGCTGGCCATTACTACTCTTATTGATCTACGACGCTATTGTCAAAGAGTATTACTGTCAAAACTGAGGGAGGGTGGCCTTGTGAGTGATGAAGTGCTTGAATCTTGTTTGCCAAGTGGAAAACATCTGTTCAGTGAACATTTTCATGGATAGATCCGGACGTTGCCCTGTAGCCCATAAATATGCAAAATGATCATTTGTCAAATTATTATTTGTCAATTTACAATAAGATTTAAAAAAAAAAAACAACTAACAAGCATCTATTCCATGAAGACCCTGTGCCTAGGGCCTACACCCTTCAATATAGTCACTTCACTCCTATGATAAAATTAGAGACGGTTGGAGTCTTTACCTCCACAATCTAGTTATCATCATCAGTTAGTCCATCTCAATCCAGTCTGTAAAATCTAAAGCTAACTTCCAAACACAGAGTCTCTGAAAGGATCTTCTAACAACATAAAATGACATAAAATAAAGCCATTTTCATGGAAAGGTAGATTCCCACATAAGCCGATTTTCATATTCAAAATTCAAGAAGAACCTTAATAAGTGAGAGTTCTAGTCCCATGTTGAAAACATCTTTCAGGCTCCAGAAAGACCAACAGGTTTCCTTTCGTGTGTTAACTCGGATGGATTGGGAATGGCTGCCCAGGAGAGCCTAGGGAAGATCTCATGGGTGTATCCCAGTCCAGTGGGGAGGGGGCTCTGAGATTAGCAGCTTCTTCCCTGAGGATGGTGGTGTATGTGTGTTAGAATCCACACGGTTTCAAGTGACGGAAACCCAGTCTCAGGCAAGGAGGAAATTGTTGGCTCACAGAATATAAGCGAGAGGGGCAGAGGCTGAGGGGCCTCTCAGGAGGGATTTGAATGTCTCCAGAATTCTGCTACCCTCATCTCCATCTCTCTAAACATAAGCTTCCCTCTTTTCACCTGCTAGGAATCATAGACACAGTTCCCCAAATGTGCATTTTGGGGCTTCCCCTAGTGAGAGTCAGCCATATCTATTCTTTGAGCACGCACACACACACACAGACACACACACACACACTCACACACACACGGAGAGGGATTCTGATTGACCCAGATTGGGTTAATAAAATCATCAGAAATGACTGCACAACCCTGAACCAAACACCTTTAGTCAGGACACAGGGTTATCTGAAGACGTAGCCATTTCTATGGGAACCACCAGACTAAATATGGTGGGAAGAGTGGTCTCTGAAATAAAGACTGGGGTACAGAACTTCCAAAATGACCGTTTCTACCACAAGGAGAATGGCTGGCCACACGGTTGCCATCCTTGACTTAAATCCAAAGGATCTGAAGGAGAAGGCCACCATGAACGTGTACCAACCTCATGTAGCACTTTGTACCTCAAGATTCCTCAGTGGGGGAGATAAATCCCCACCTAAATCAATAAGCTGTGCCTTCCAGCCTCTGTGAACGGAAACGAAGCTTTCACTCTAACAAGGAACTGAGAACACTCATCCTTTTTGTAGGAACGTTTCCTGCTACAGGTTCAACCGGTAAGCCATCTCTTCCCAAGGCAGGTGGTGACTTGAGAATTCCGTGTCCAGTTCTTGAGGACTACCCCACTATGCAGCGGCTGATGAGGTTCCGGATCCTCTGTGGCATCCACAAATCCTTCCACATCTTCCACCCTGCCCCTCGGCAGGTGTGCCGCCAATCTTCATCAGGACTTAGAGCCCCAAGGTGGAGTGACCATGATACACCTGAGGAATTCAACTTCGCCAGCTCAGTGCTGGACTACTGGGCTCAGATGGAGAAGGTAAGAGTGCCTTGTGTTGAGGGCAGAGAGAGGGTCGGCCTCAGTGGCCTGATCTCGTTTTTATTAGGCTGAGAGGCCCAGAGTCAAGGACAACTCCTTCCTCAACCTATCAGTGTAGTGGGGAAGGTTTATGCTTCAGGATTCAATTCCAAATTGGCTGCTTGCTCATTTCCCTGAGCTTCAGTGGCTTCATCTGTGAAATGGGGATAAACTCTTTTTTGAAATTTATGTAAAGAATAGGTAAAGGTATCTGGTACACGGTGTTCCAAAATTGGGACCAAGGGCAAAGTTCTAATCGCAAAGTTCTAATTGCAAGTCTGACTTCTTTCAACTAATGGGACAGTGAATCTAACTGAAATTCACTTGATCAAACTTGGGCTTGACTTTAGGCTACATCCAGAGGATGGGATAGACCACCGGAATGTGTACCTGACATCTGACCCCTCCATCAGGTCATCCGTCTTCCTGGGAGGGTGGCAATTATAAGCTGAGTCCTTTCTCTGACTCAAGTGTGGCCTTAGGGTGTATCCAGAGAAACTAGTCCCTGGGGCCTCCAGAATATTCATCCTCTAGCACATGGTTCATCTTTTCCCAAGACACAGACCAAGAGCAAAATAGTGATGGCACGAGAAGTTAGAGTGGACAATGGGTGGTGTGTTCAGCTACTAAGTCTCAGCCACACTGTGAAAATCCACCCATAATCCATCTTTGTACAAAGAGAGAATTCACCTGAGATGGAGTTGGAATGGATAAAATTTTTGTATGAACCCCATGAACATGCATCCATACGTTATTATTCAAGGCTAATATGCCTTCTCAAATGTCTTTCTCTCCACCCTCTTTTTCTTCCTTTTTCGAAATTTTCATAATAACCCCGCACTGTCCACATCCCAGTTATGCTAGGGAAGTGGGATGGGTTGCTAAGAGACCAAAGAAACCTGAAGATGATATGTGAGACATATGGTTAATTAAAAACGAGCGTAATTGCAGGGACGGTCCTAAGGTGATGCACTAGACAAATGGCACCTCCATCCCTCATGGGGCTTTGTACAGTATCGCAGGTTACTGGATCCTCCCTACAGTGCTCTGTTTCACACCAGTTACTGCAGGGGGAGGGATTTTATTGGTTAGTGTACATAAACAGTGATATCATAGCTTGTGATATCAATGGAACATCATTGTTCCCTTGTATAACCATAATTTCAAGGAGTAGTTTATCTTGGCATATGTGTAAGTGCCGGGTTTCTGTTGTCACGACTAAAAGGCTCAGGGGTCACTCTAGTTAAACTGGGCTGACTGGGCTGCACGAAATAACCACACAAGAGACACAAATACCTTTTTCTTTGGGGTTGCTGTGACAGCTCCTCTGACCTTAAGGGTCCGCAGAAAGAGAGAGAGAGAGAGCACGCGCTGACCCCTTTTATTGAGGAGAAGCTATTCAAATGAGGCAAGGGGTCAGGTTTCAGGGGGCTGAGTCTATCTTCATGATGTCCACTGTCAGCAGGTTGACTGACACCTGGGTAGGCCACACCCAAGGGCACAGTAAGAGGAGGGGACACACACAAGGCACTTCCATGGAAGATTCTATCCTAAACAGGGCAAGGGGTTATATTACAAAGGAACGGGTGAGCATAGCTTCACCCCTGGGGCTGTAGCAAGACACACCTATTTCTGTGACTGAGCACCTCAGCACCCAGCTGGGGAGTGTAACTCAGTCACCCGTAAGCTTGGCCTCCCACATGTAAGAATGCAGGTTCTACAGATAACACGTTTGCTCTAAAATCTATGGCATGTGTGAGAATCAGTATCCTTCATGATAATCCTTTGGGCATTCCAATCTATGCTTATTCTCATTGGTCCCTTTCTTGGCTAGGTTCTCAGAAAGGGAAAGAGGCATTTCAGAGACATGGTATTTACTTTCCTCATTTCTTTCAAGAATAACATAAACCCTAAGAAAAATAGAACCACCTTTCATTACAGAGAACATTTTCTGTTTTATTGTCAGTCACTTTGCATTTAATCCTCTGATTATATGGGCAGTTATGGTCCTCATCTTCCACACGAGGAAACTAAGGCTCCAAGGACTTAAATAACCTGCGGGTGGAGGAGCAGAATTTGGTGCCCAGGATGATGGCTTTCATAATCCATTATTTAACCAAGTCTCAAAATCTGATGAGGTCAAACAACCTCTGCCTTCAGAGCATAAATTGACGTTCTTCACTGCCCAAACCAGAAATCTGGTTAAGAACTTTGGAACATGAAATGGACCAGAGAGGAAGTAGAAAGAAGCAATGGTATATCACCTTTTCCCTGGTTATGTCCCTAAAGTCCTGATTAATAAGTTCACGCACCAACCTGTGGATTTAACAACCAAGAAAACATTCCCCCCAGAGAATGCTAATCTTTGTTGGGCTTTATAACATCATTATCAGTCACTGCCAATTTCTCCATATCTCCAAATCTTTCTCACTCCCAGCATCCCATTGGTATTCATTCTCAAAATATTTCTTGGCTGTCTTTTTTCTCTTTTACCAATTGCCTTGATCATGATCAGTAACTTAGACTCATTCAGTGACTCTCTCTAGAGACTTGTCTGGTACCTAACATAATAGTTGCTCATTGCAGTTGTAGAATAAAATAATTTTGGTACATGCCTTGCTGCTTACTCCTGTGAAAGACCATCCATAAGGTCCTCTCTGGCTTCCTGAACCTCTCCTTACGGATTAACAAGCATCACACAGAAACCGATCCATGGCCTAATCGATGGCAATGCCCAAACCATTATAGAGTGACAGCATTTATATTGACTCGTTTTTTTCAACATATTTTAATTGTAAAATGTAAGTTAGAAATGCAAGAGTTTTCGGTGAAATCTTTCGATCATTTTAGTCTTGGCCAAGAATTCCTTATAAAACAAAATGGAGCTTGTAAGCTAGACAACATGGTCCATGAGTGGAATACAGTTACTTATTGAGGCTACCCAATTTGTAACCCATGGTTGCTCTTGGAAACCAGATTCTGTATTATTATAATATCCTAGGATACTATATTCAATTCCAATTGATTTCTGGAGCAGCATCCAAATTTATTCATGAGAGATTCATGTCAACATTTATTCATTCTGTTTCTTATTAACTTTATTCATTCATTCATCTAAGACTTGATGAACACCTAAGATGTACCAAGAACCATTCTAAATAATGGGAATAGACAAGTAAATAAAATGTACGAGTCTTCACTTACTTTGCATTTTGCCAATTGCTTTCTTCATGTCTTATAGCTTTTTTGTTCCTCATTTCCTCTCTCTCTCTGCTTTCATGTTTAGTTGATCTTTGATAGTGACATGATTTTATTTTATTTTTCTCATTTCCTTTTGAATATCTGGAAACTACAAATATTTCCTTTGTGACCACCATGAGGATTTCACAAAATATCCTGTGCTTATAACAATCTACTTAAAAAAGATAATAACCGGCCGGGTGCAGTGATGCACACCTGTAATCCCAGCAGCTCGGGAGGCTGAAATTGGAGGATCATGGGTTCAAAACCAGCCTCAGCAACAGTGAGGCACTATACAGCTCAGTGAGACCCTGTCTCTAAATAAAATACAAAATAGGTCTGGGGATGGGGCTCAGTGGTTGAGTGTCCCTGAGTTCAATCTCCAGTGCCAAAAAGAAAACAACTGTACTTCAGTCACATACAAAAATTCTATACTCCTTTACAGTTTTTTATCCACTTTATGTTGTCACAAAGGACAACCTTATGTAGTATGTACCCATTAGCATAAATTTAGAATATTGTATGCCTTATATTTTAAATAGTATAAAGTTATAAGCCAAAATTAAAATAATGATGATTCTCATATTTGAACATGTAACTACCTTTATAAAAATGATGTTTTCATATTTCACATTTTCTTTAAGGCATCAAGAAAATAATTAACAAAATGTGAAGGGAAAGTGAGGGTCATCGGTTTTGTTTACTTTTCTACCCCCATTATTGATCTTATAAGGCAATTCTAGTGAAACTCCATCAACTTTTGTTTATCTGAGAATATACTAATTTCTCCCTTGGGTTTTGAAGAAGGACTGCTGGGCATAGAATTCTTGGCTGATAGGATTTTTTTCTTTTTTTATTTAACACTTCAGATATATCATCTCACCGCCTTCTGGCCCGAACGTTTTCTGCTAAGAAATTTGTTAAAAATGTTCTTAAGGATCTCTTGTACACAATGAATCACAGTGAACTGATTTCATTTTACTGCTTTCAAGACTATCTATTTGTCTTTGGCTTTCATGTTTTGGTTATAATGTGTCTAATTATGGTTCTCTTTGGGTTTATCCTTCTTAAAGATGTTGAGTCTTTTGTCAAGGTTTTGCCTCAAATTTGGGAAGTTTGGGCTTTACTTCATCAAATAAGTTCAATGTACCTTTCTCTCTTTGTTCTCCCTCTGGGACTCCCAAAATGTGTATATTGTTGTGCTTGGTAATATGCCATAGGTTTCTTAAGCTCTGTTCATTTGTAGTTATTCTCTTTTCTTTTTGCTCCTCAAATCCAATAATTTCAAATGAACTGTCTTCAACTTTACTCATGCTTTCTTCTACCTGTTTGAATCTTCTGGTGACCCCCTCTAGTGAATTTTCAAATCAGTTACTGCAATTTGGGGCTCCTGAACTTCTTTTAGTTTTTTTTTTTAAATAAAATAATTAACTCCCCTTTGTTGATGTTATCACTTGTTCATTTAGTTTTCCTGATTTTCTTTAGGGCTTTGTCTATGTTTTCTTTTTGCTCTTTGAGTATAGTTCAGTAGTTGTTTTAAAGTCTTCATCGAGAAACCGATGCCTACATTTCTTTAGGGTAAGTTTTTGGAGATTTACTTTGTTCCCTGGAATAGTCCGTGTTTCCCTGTTCCTCTGTATGCTTTGTGAGCATTTGGTGTGGAGGAAGACACTTGTCTCAGTCTTGTAGACTGACTCCCTACAGATGAAAACCTTTACCAGTTTACCCAGCATAATAGATTAATGTCATCTCAGGCCTTTTCAGAAAGTTGTTTTCCTAGGGCCTGTTTAAATGCTCCTTCTCCCCCTAATTTTCCCATTTACCTGGAAGTCTTTAAATGTCGTAATGGCCCTAGACACCTCATCCTCAATTCTTCTCAGGGTCTTAGATGTCCAATCAGGTTTCTCTGTCCATTATCTCTTGCCCCCAGTCACCATGATACCTGCTGCTGCTTTCAGAGATCTGCAGTCTGATATTCAAACTCTGCTTTTCTTCTGAATCAGGAAGCACAGAAACCAGTTGCTCAGATAGTCCGGGGCCAAGCCAGAACATTGCAAACAAGTTAGACTCTTTTCCTTCTCTCCTGAGGAGTCAGGAGTTGGGTGGTTTACCCTTGACCACAGTGCACCACCCCAAATCATGGGGAGGAGGCAAGGATAAACAAAAACATCACAAATCTTTCTACATTTTAACTGTTTTTTTTTTTTTTCTTGCTATGTGGACATTTGCTTGATTGCTGAAGATCCTTGACTAATTTCTAGAGATCCCAGAAACTATTTTAGTAAATCTGTTGTTGTTTACTTGAAGTTTCTGAAGAAATAAGGGCCTGGATAGTTTGCTAACTTGCTATCCTGACCTCTAGAAGTCCCTTAATTTTTTAAAGTCTCAAAATATTTAGCAATCAAGTGATGCTCTTTTGTTTTATTTTGTTGTGATAATATCGAGCCCTTAATTTGTGCCAGATACTCTTATAAGTATTTTTATCATTAAATATCTCAAACTCTACTAACTTCTAGGCAATATTATTATTCCCATTTCATAATTGAGACACTGAGGCATAGAGAGAAATCCACTGTCCAAATAGGACTAATAGAGGAACATGAAGAAACGGAATCTTAAATCTTCAGCTGTTCGTGGTCTTATGGGATCTGAGGTGGAGGGGGCTACAGAAGGGCAGAAGTTAGCTGGGTCCCCACCTCATCTCCCAAATTCTCTTGGCTCCATATATGTTTAAAATGGGATCTGGGTCCTTGAGCTACGCTCACCCTGCCATGTGACCATGACAATGGATTGTCCAAAGAAGTGGCCGTTTCCTTTGAAGCAGGAAGTAACACCTGGCGTGTGATCTCACCTAGGAGGGCAAGAGAGGTTCAGAGACAGCCCTGTGGTGGGTGAACGGCCAAGGCGATGAAGTGAAGTGGAGCTTCCGGGAGATATCCGACTTAACCCGCCGCACAGCCAACGTCTTCACGCAGGCCTGTGGCCTGCAGCAGGGAGATCATCTGGCCTTGATTCTGCCACGCGTGCCTGAGTGGTGGCTGGTGACCGTGGGCTGCATCCGGACAGGTCAGTGACTCCAGGGGTCCTGAGTGGTCTTCAGGAGGCCCTAGAGCCAGTCAGTCCTGGGATATCAGGTTCTGTGTACCCAACCTGGCACAGGAGTCCCTGCTCTCTTGCTGGAACCATGGGCCAGGCTCCCTGGGCTCTGGCAATTCTTCTCACACCCTCATTATTACATTCTCAAGCACAATGTCATTAATACCAAAATTCTCTCTCTGTCTCTCTCCCTCTCTCTCTCTTGCACACATGCACATGCTTTCTCTTGCATGGTCTCAGACATTTTTGTTTTTTTTTAAAGATTGATCAATTGTTAACATTTTCCCATATTTAAGTGCTCACTCAGTCTCTCTCTCTCTCTCTGTCTCATTGAAACATTTAAGAATTGGTTGTGGACACTGTGATACCTACCAACAGTAGGCAAATGCTTATAAAGACAAGAAAATGCATCTGTCAAAATCCAAGACAATCCCTTGACAGAACCACAATAGTGTTATCATGCAAGAGAAGAGTAACATCAGCACAACACAGTCCCCAACACACACACCCAGAGTTCAAGTTTCTCAGCGGTCCCAATAATATCCTTTGTAGATATTATTTTTTAAGCCCAATGAAGTATCATGCATTGTATTTAGTTGTCATGTCTCCTTAATGTCCTTCAATGTAGAATGGTCCCCCACCTTTTCTGCATGACAAGGACATTTTTAAAGAGTCCAAGGCCAGTTGTTCTGTCTCTTCCTGCATGGTTCTATTCAGGTTACGCACTTTGGGTAGGATTAGTCCCAGGGAAGGTGGGGTCTTTCTCAGTGTGAGCATCCTGATCATCTATAGTAATTATTCCACTACTTGAACGAGGTGGTATTCACCACATTTTTTTTTTTAGCAGTAATCTGTATGAGACTGTGTGAATGTCCCATTCCCCAAGAGTCTTTACACTATGATTGACTCCATCAACCAGAATTTCCATCGGTAATTTTCAACTGAATTAAGTGACAGTATGATGGTGTTATATGGGAGTGTCTATCTATATCATACCCTCTACATTTATCAGTTGGAATTCTTTTGTAGAGAGCTCCCTTCCTCTTATAATTAACTATATGGCTTTTATCCATGCGATTCACAACCAACATGGGACTCATGGTTACTTTTTCCGAATCACATCTTATTCCATCATGCAAAATTCCTGTCCTGCATTCTCTCTCTCTCTCTCTCTCTCTCATCTCTTCTAACTAATAAAATAATCGATGAATTCAACCAGGTTATTTAGAATCAAGAATTAATATCAGGGCTGGGGATGTAGCTCAATGGTCAAGTGCTCATCTGGCCCATGTGAGGCCCTGGGCTCCACCCTCAGCACCACATAAAAATAAATAAATAGAATAAAGGTATTGTATTGACCTACCACAAACTAAAAAATATATATATTTAAAAATATAACAAGGATGGCAGAGGAAGTGTAGAGCTAAGAAATGATCCATGGGAAATCTAAGACCTGATGGAGCTGAGCCCTCTGGGATGAGCAGAATTACCGAGGATTAGAAGTGAAGGAACAGCATTCCAAGCATGGGCTTAGAGTCAGGAGTGGCCTATGTGAAGATTGGCCATTCTGAAGTAGAGAAGAGCTGTGAGAAAGAAAGATGGCAAGTGGGCAGCCCTGCAGTTCGGAATGGGCAGGGTGGTCTTACGGAGAGATGGCACAGGCATCAGTGCAGAGAAGAAATGTGGAGGGGGAAACGTCGGTGTCTTAGGGAACTTGAGTGGCAGGAAGGTTCCTAACAAGGCATTCAGGGGAGGGAAGGGAATCCCGCAGAGGAGGCCGCAGGCTTCAACTCACTGTTGATGATAGAAATGGAAGAGAAGGTAGACAAGTTCAAAAGACCATGCTGCTAAACTGGGAATGAGAGAAAGAGACAAAATTTGAGATGAAACTGATAGAGAAAGACGTGAGAGGGTGAAGATGGGCCCAGTCCTGATGTTAGGGACACAGTCCTATTCGAAACTGTGTCCCCAAATCTAGAATAAATTTGTGTAAACCTGGCTCCACCTGTCCTCTGGATGGATCCATAGAAAGCAGAAAATTTAGGGCAGGGCTTACAATTTTACCATGTATATAATCCCTCTGGGACTTTGTTAAAATGAAGATTTTGATTCAGCAGATTTGGTGCAGGGTGCGAGGTTCTGCGTCCCAGGTGGACGATACCTTCCCTAGCAAAAGGTCAGGGGATGTCTCTGCAGATGAGCCAGGCCTGAAGCAAATGGTTGTGAAAGAACCTGAAACAAGCCGTTCCTTCTTGTCCCCAGGCATTGTCTTCATACCTGGGACTACCCAGTTGACTGCCAAGGACATCATGTACCGACTACAAGCATCTAAAGCCAAGGCCATTGTGACCACAGATACGCTTGCCCCTACGGTGGACTCTGTGGCTTCTGAGTGTCCCACTCTGAGAACCAAGCTGCTGGTGTCTGATCACAAACGTGAAGGGTGGTTGGACTTTCGGTCACTGATCAGGTGAGTTTCTGGTCTGATAAATATGGGTGATGGGGAAAGGACATCCACTCCCAAGACCTGGGAGACAAGCAGCCAGCCATCTGAAGCTCCCAAGGTTAGATGTCAGAAACTCTCTCTTTCCAGCTGAGTTATCTGCTCTGTGATCCTGGGTCTGCCGCAGTCCGGCTGCAGCAAAATAACCAGCGGGGGTGGGGTGGTGGGGGGGGGGGGACACGAACAACTTGTGTACGTTGATACAGCAGGAGTGGAAGCTGTTTATTGCAGGACAGGAGCAGTATTTATACATTCCACACAGCTTATCTAATTAGCATAAACTAGATACATCAGTCAACCAATAAGGAATCTCCACACTTAATGGCTCGCTTTTGTTACTTCTCAAACCACTCCCTCTGGCATTTTGCCAGGCACCATCCAGACTTGTTTACGAACTTTAACATTCCCCTGGCAAAATGCCAGGTGTTATTTTGACTTATTTACGGACTCTAACAGGTTAGTGCCTTCCCCTCGCTGGGTCTTGGCTGCTTTATCTGTAAAATAAGGAAGTTGAAATTCCAAGCTTCTCTCACTCAGCCTGGATCTATATAGAGGAGAAGTTTAAAGAGAGAGGGCTGCTGTGTCACGTACTCTTTGCAGATAGGGGGTTGAAAAATCTTCCTTTTATATAAAAATGCATATATGAAGAAGTTTCACAAAATGTAAAAATGAATTTTTGTGAGGCAAAGCTTAAGGCTGCAGTACAAATTGAATTGCTTTTCTGGTGGACCTGAAGCTTCAAGCATAAACACCACATCAGCCGGGAACCAGGGGCCCACAGGGACACCTTTCAGGGAAACCATGGGATTAGGTGGGGTAAGAAAGACTCCTTTCCCTCCAACTCAGATTCTGCAAGCACTCAGGCTGATTCTGTATCCTACAAACAAACCATACTGGGTTTGTGCCCTTGCAGAAGCACCTCAGGTTCTAAAGCTCCTTATTTCAACCTCAAAACGCAAACATTACAGCAAAGTTACATGTTATGCCGAAGTCAAAGGATTAAATGAGAAAACCTTAAAATTTAAGAAAACTCTTAGAAAACCGTTCCAATGGCCCAAGGCAAGAGGGTGCCATTTCACAGGAAGAGCAGCTGAGCCAGGGCCTCCTCCAGTGCTGAGATCATCTGCAGCTTTCTCTGA